GGGGCGGCGGGCACCGGGGGGTGGGATGCGCTGGGGATTTTCGCACTGATGCTGGGGTTTCTCGCATCGATACTGGAGTTTTTCGCATCGATGCTGGGGTTTCTCGCACTGATGCTGGGGTGCGTGTGTCCCCCCCCCGCTCCCCGCCGCGCACGGGCACTGCGGCATTCCTCCGCGGACACGCCTGTGCGCACACACAGCATCTGCCCGCTCCCTGCAATGGGGGGGCGGCTCGCCCCCCCCCCCTCCTGCCCCTCGAGCGCTCGGGAGACCCCCCCGGCACCCCCTCCTTGCACAGCCAGCCTCCTGGGCCTCTCGGTTGCTCTCAGCCCATCAGGCTGGCTCTTTTCTCCCCCTCCACCTTCCCCACATCCTGTTTGTCACCCTCAGCTTGTCAGGGTGGCAGTGGCACAGAGGTGCCGCCGTGCCATAGCCTCGAGCAGGTGGTAGAGAGGGTGACAGAGAGCTTTGCCCTGCGAGGGCTAAAGTCACCCTACTGCTGCCATCCGCCCAAAGCCCCTGGGACCATGAGTCACCTCGCTAGGAGGGGTACAAGGAGTCCAAGGGCTGGTGAACCCAGAGCCTAGAAGACCTGAGTGCTTTCGCACGTAGATGGGAAGAAGCCCCCCTCTCTGGGAGCTTATTTGCACTGATTTTCTGGAGGAAAGCCTGGCTGTGACCTAGATAGTGTCCCAGGACATTCAAAGAGGAGCGGATCGGAGCCGGGTAATGACAAAGCAAGGGACAGGGGCCAGTTTCTAGGAACCCAGAGGAGACTCAGTCTCCTCCCTCATGCCTTTGTCTTGCAACTTCCTAGCCAGGTTTCAGGGCTGCGGACATAGAGATGTTTCAAAACTTCTCAGTAAGCAAATGGTTTTGGTATTTCCTCCTAGAAGATTATGAAACACCCAAAAAATGCTAAAAACAAAAATCCCGCTGACTGTGATGCAGGCAGTTCCTAGCTCTTTCCTGGATGCTTAGCCAGGCTCAGAGGGAGCAAACTGGGGTCTGCTCTCCCTCTGCCAGCCTGGATTCCCAAAGGGATGGTAATTCACCTCCCCTTCTTGGACCTGGCCCCGCATCCCCAGCCTGGAGAACCTGGAGGAGCAGGGCGCTCTGTGCGTCCTTCAGCTCCAGCATCTGCTTTGCTGCTCCCCCACCCTCTCCCTCCATTCCGCATGTCTGCGGCTGGATTCCCCATGCGGCTGCTTGGCTGGGCTGCAAACCTTTAATTGATTCCTCTCGGCTGGAATGGGCTGTCAGCAGCCCTGGGGTTTTGATGAAACATCCCGGGCCCCTTATTCACGCAGAGCGGGAGGCAGCCTGAAGAGACGGGCAGTGGGCCAGGGACCCGGTCCAGAGAGTGGACTCTGCCACCCCAAACCCCTTCCATATTGTGGCGGGGCAGGCTCAGCCTAGCCCCTGGAGACTTGGAGCCATCCTTTGGCGGTCTTGGCTCCCTGTCCAGCTGCCGTGTCCCTCCTTCTCACTGCTCTTGGCCCCTTTCCCTCACTGCATCGCAATGAGTCATCTTTGCTGAGCTCACCCGCTGGAGCCGCAGGGGGGGCTGGCAGGCCTGGTGCCCGCCAGTGCCAAGGAGGGTCCCTCACCTGGCAGCCCACTGGGCTCCCCATGAGCCGCAGCAGGCACCGGGGTGCATCCTGATTTCTCCTGCCTGTCTCTTGAGCAGGCACCCAGCCAGAGAACAGAGCAGAAGGAGGGGGGGCAGCACACGCAGGCCTCACTGCAGGCAGCTGCAGGTCTGTGCTACGTTCATTTGATGTCTGGCGTGGAGGATGCAGACAGGAAAAAGAGAGTGCGGCTGGCATTGCCTGGGGCTGTGGAAAGGTGATGCTATCCAGACACAGCGCCTGATTGCCTCGCTCTTTGGAGAGCCAGCCAGTCCCTGTGCAGTGGATGAGACACCATGATGAGGAGCGTGCTGTAGAGCATCATTTGTGCGAGGAGGGGCAGCCTGTGCCGTGTCTGCACCGCTGAGCACCCACATCCGTGTGCCAGGGCAATGGCCTGGCTAACCGCCCCTCTCTCTCTCCCTCCCCAGGCTCCCCTCTCAGTGGCAGCCGCTGCCGAGCACGTCAGCAGAGATGAACCCCACCGTCGGCATCGCTGTCATCCTGACAGGTACGGCCTGCAGATGCACATCCCCTCTCTGCTCTCTAGCGAGCTCGGCCCAGAGCAGCCAGGCAAGAGCCAGGAGGCTGCATGGGCATCCTCAGTGCTCGCTGTCCCCTTTCCAACCCCTGCTTGCCTCTCCCAGTCCTCCAGGTTGCCCACTGCCAGATGATCAAGGACCTGAGTGCCTGCCTGCTGGGCCAGAGCCTCCGGGTGGACTGCCGTTATGAGAACAAAACCAGCAATCCCCTGACCTATGAGTTCAGCATCACCAAGGACAACAGGAAGCACGTCATCCACAGCACCATCAGCGTCTCCGAGAACATCTACCGGAGCCGAGCCAACGTCACCATGCACAAGAACCTGGTGTGCCTCTACCTGCAGAGCTTCACCACCAGTGATGAGGGCGTCTACATGTGCGAGCTGAAGGCCACCAACGACTACACCGGCAACCAGTCAAAGAACATCACTGTCATCAAAGGTGAGATGGGCAGCACTGCCTGGCCTCAGCCCCTCCTAACCGCCTGCTCCTTGGCTTTGCGGGGCCGGCAGAGAAAACCACAACCCCCTATGGTGTTTCCAAACACTTCCTGAGTCCCGTAAGTGTTTCCCACCCTTATGTGCCCTTCCCACTGCAAGCAGAGCAGTCAGCCCCACGGATGGCCTCGCTCGGCCCCGTCTCAGCCTGCTTTCCCCTACCTCTCTCGGGCCCGGCCTGGGGTGTCCTCCCAGAGGTTACGGTTCAGAGTCAGTCCCAGCAGAGGGCACAAGTCAGCTGGTGAAGGACCAAAGAGGTACGTGGTCCGGAGCTGGAGGGCAGTGGGGATTTTCCACACTTACACCCCACAGGAGCAGTCCTCCCATTGCAGAGCCCTTACCTGGTGCCCATCCCCTTCTCACCTCAGTCAGGCATAGGTGGCATCACGCTTCCCAGGGTCTCTGTGCTCCCAGAAGCTATCTGGGCACAAGGTGGGAGCTATATGGGCACCCAGGATGGGACTTGCTGCGTTTCTGTGGCAGAGGAGAGGCAAGGAGCTGAGTCCCAGTACCCCTTAGAACCCAGCCTGATCCCTGTTCCCGAGGGATTTCATTGTGGCTCTTTTCTCCCCCCCTGTTCCCTGTCCTCACAGACAAACTGGAGAAATGCGCCGGCTTCAGCCTCTTGATCCAGAACACCTCATGGCTCCTGCTGCTCCTCCTTTCCCTGCCTCTCCTGCAAGCCGTGGACTTCGTGTCCCTGTGAAAGGAAGAGCGCCCGCGCGCACACACACACGCACGCACGCACACACCGAGTACCCCAGCAAACCCGCCTCCCCCGCCAGAACGCAGCCCTCGGAAAGAGAAGCCGAACCGTTTGGAAGAAGTGAAACCTCTCTCTGTGTTCTCTCTATATAGCCGTATATCTAACGCTAACCACCATCCTGTGCCGAGACCCGCCATCACACGCACACATGCCCAGCTCCAAAGCATGGTGGCTCCGCTAGGCAGCATTGCTTCTCCCATCCCACCTCCCCGCTTGGTAGGCTGGCTGGTTTGCTCGTGCTGGGAGCACTGGAGCCTCAGCCCCACACAGCCCACTTCTCCCGTCCCTTTAACTTTGGGGGTTTGCCTGTTCTCAAATGGGGAAGGACAGCTGGATTGGCAGGTAAGAGAGAGAGATGACGGGAGAGCGTGCGGAGGGGTCCCCGTGTTGGGTGCTGTGCCCACGGCTCCTGGAGGAGATGGGGCCACCAGTGTCCCCATCCCGCCCTGCCCGCTGGCCAGGTGACTTACTGATTTCTCAGCTTGCTCCTCTCACCCTGAGTCACCCTGAGCTGCTGTGACTGGGAGGGGGCACGAGGCGAGTCCTGTCTCACGTCGAGCAGGGAAGAGGCAGAGGGAGCAGGGGAGGCATGGGATGATGCTGGGCCTGGCCAGGCTGGGAAGAGAGAGGGGAGCGGGTCTAGGAGACACCCATCAAATGCCCCTGCCTCCTTAGGGCTCTTCTGGGGCCCTGGGAGGGGGCTCACTGCAAACGTGCTTTGGCAACAAGTATTTCCTAACCTGTATTTTACAGCTGAGCTGGAAGTGAGGCCTCCTTCAGACATCATCTGGTACCTTTGGGCTGCCCAAGCCCGAGACACCACTTGTTCTCCCTGGAGACCAGCCCTTAGCTGTGACGAGAGAATTGCTGCCAGCACCCCCTGACAGTGGAGGCGAGCAGAGCCTCTCTGAGCTAGCCACAGCCCTGCCTTCATGCCTGCTCCCTTCCCCGAGACCCGTGGAGTTGGATTCAGCCAGGCTGGTGGGGAAAGGGGCTCCCCTATGGGACCATGACCCCGAGGTCTGCTCTGCATTGTCACCCTGCCATCCCTAAGGGAACATCTGGGGACCCTGATCCTTCCTCATGGCACACATCCAGGTGCCTGGCTCTGGGTAAGGCTCAGCAGCCTTCTTCCACCTCAGTCTTCCTCCAGCCCTACCATGCCTTTGGGAGGAGCCCGTGTGCCCCCTCCCTTTCAGCATTTCCCTGTCTCCATTTAAGAGCAGAAAAGGCCCTTAGGGCAGCCCAGCCCTTGGTCACTGCCTCAGTAAGGGGCAGGGGAGAGCGGGGAGAGGGACGCTGAGCACAGCCCGCCTCTACCAGCCCAGGAGAGAGACCTGCTGCACCCTCTCCCAGGGGAGGGCACGGGGCAGGGGTAGATGCAGGCAGGGCCATCCGTGTCCGTGGGGTGAACCCCAGTCCCGCTGAGCTACCCGTGCAGCCTGGGCTGTGCCCCCGACGGCTGAGAGCGATTCACAGCAGCTGCTCCCCGCTCCTCGCTCTTCTCCAGACACCGTGAGCTGCCTCCTACCCCCGTGCCCGTCCCCTGCCCGTCCCTGCCTGCTTGCTTGCTGTCTAGTGCTGCTGAGGCCGTGTATAGCTGAGGTCTGGCTGCGCCCAGCTCCCTGGGCTTGCTGGTGAGCGCCGGGGCAGGCGCAGAGCCCAGCCGGCAGAGCGCGGATGCGTCTCCAGTCTCATTTTTTTGTGAACATTTGTAGTTGTTTCCACAGCTTGTCGTAAAAGAAATTCTGTTAAGGGGAAAAAAAAAAAAAAAAGAACCCTACGAAAAGCAACAACAACAAAAAAACTATCCTCCAGGAGTGTTCCTCTGTCTGCACAATAAAACCCTAGGTTGTGTGTTGGAGCCACGGCCACCCGTGTGTGCGACGGAGGGGCGAGGGGCCATGGTGGGGCTGGGCTCCAGCTGGTGCCTGCTGACTCCCTCTGGGGGGGAACACTTCCTGAGCAGCCCCAGCACGCCTTCCCCAGGCCTCCAGCAGCCCCAGCCCTGCGGGATGGAAGCAGACAGGGACAAGACTCGCTTTCCCCAGGGAGGGCAAGCCTCTCCTGCCCGCCTGGAGCATGGACCCTTGTGCCCACCATCCTGTCCCTGTCCTTATCCCCCCCCAGCTCTGTCCCAGAAACCCTCCCTTTGCCCATTATGAGCTCAGAGCCAGGGCTGCCCACCGTGTTCAGGGGGCAGAAATGGGGTAGGTACAAGCGGGCATCCCAGGGCTGGTGCTGGCCCAGCCATCCTCCTGGGAGGGAATTACCGGGGCTGGGAGTGTGTGTAGGAGCAGGGCTGGGTGTGCATACGTGTCCCGAAGCTCCCAGCCCTGGGGCAGCGTGGCTGTCACGCCAGGGTCCTGCCTGTGTGCCCATGCCTGCGTGCTGCCCCTGGGGGTGCCAGTGGCCCCCACAGCCTCTCGAGCAGCCGGAGAAGCCATGCACTGCTCCCTGCCCGGGGTCAAGGTGCCTCCCTGGGACCTGGGGGCTGCGGGTCACGGTCACCCTCGTGTTTGGGAGCAGCGCCCTGCCATCACCCCCTAACACCGCTGGTGACCCCATAGCACCCTCCCAGAGGCACACCCAGACGCGTCCCTCGCGTGGCCCTCCCTGTTTCAGGGCTGGAGCCAGGCAGGAGGGAAGAAAATGCCACCATAATTGCATCCCTCCTAATTATCCTCAGCAGGTGCTCGCTGAGTCACGGCCGCCCGGGTGCTGGCGCACCGCGAGGCCATGCCGCCCTGGGCGGGTCAGGCGTCGGGGAGCGGTGCTGGGTGGATGCCCCAGTATCCCGGTGGGGCCATGAGGGGGGGGTGCTCCTTGTGCCTGCACCGCCACGCCAGCTGCCCTGTGCCCACCTTTGCTGCAGGCTTAGGGGGATCTTTTCTCTACAACTTGCCCCAAGGGAGGCAAAACTCACACCACCTCCTCCCCTCACCGTGATGCTCTGCTCCAGACCTTACTGGTAGCCATGGGCATCCCCCCTCTCTGCCTTCCTGGCCCCCACACCAAGTTGTGTCCCAGCCCACTCCCTCTCGCAGTCCTCTGTCAATCCTTTCCCTCCTGGATCTTCATCTCCCTCCCCAAGTTTCTGCCCTCCGCACACTTACCCTCAGCCATCCTTCATTCCCACAGCTCCCCCCTGCCTCCGCAGCCTCCCCTCCCAGCACCCCCTTGCCATGGCTGACCAGCCTCCTCAGGTTCACGTCCCCTTTAAGCCTCCCCGAAGCTGGAATGCGAGAGGAGCATTTCGGCGCCCTGTGAGGTCAGATAAAGACACTATATTTATCTAGCTGGTAACCTGAGCCGTGAATTTCTGTGGTGTTTTTACGCGGCCCCACATCGCTCCGGCTCAGCCCCCTCCGGCCATTGCGTCCGCTCCTTGCAGGGTGGAGGAGCTGAAGTGGCCTGTCTCCTCCGAAGGGCTCGGGTGCTACCGGCCCCTCCGCATCGCTCGCTCTCCTTTGGCCCCAGGGGAAGCGTCCCAAGGAGGCAGGACCAGCTCCCTGCGCTCAGCCCCGTGGGCATCACCCCATGACCAGCCACTCGCCCCCCACCATGCCAGCCTCGCGCCCCTGACCAGCCACCAGCTGCCCGCCCTGCCGACCCACATGCAGGTGAGTGGAATGGGGTGCTGTGGGGATGTCAACCCTGGGGAGGGGCCTGCGGCATCGGGGACTCAGAGGAGCTGGCAAAACTACCCTCCCTTTTCCTTCGGCTGGGTAAAGCCCCGGGGGAGAGACTTGCAGCCTCTGTATCCCCGGAGAGCAGGTTCAGAGTTCACGCGTGAAAACTTGGCAGCTCTCTGCCAGCGAGCCACGCTCCCTGCCACCCTCCCCATCCCCAGCGCAGGCAGAGCCCTGTGCCCAGGAACTTCCCCAGGGTCCCTTCTTTTTTTCCACCCGCAGACCTCAAAGCAATAACATGCCCTGGGTCTTAGTCAAGGTTCCCCCTGGGTTAGGGGTTTTACTGCCTGGGAGCGGCAAGTAGCAGGTTCTGCAGCCAGGTGGGTATGTGTCAGCAGCACAGAGTGAGTCCAGGGTGATGAGTCCTGGCCAGCACATGTGGCATGAGTTTGGAGGGTTCTCAGGCTCAGTGGCTGGTAGGAGAAGGGCCCTGGCCAGGCTGGCCCTGGCTGCACGTGTGACCTTGGGCAGGTCCCATTGCTCTGGGGTGTGTGAGCGGTGGGGAGGCAGCACTGGAGCCAGGGGGGCTTCTCCTCAAGTGCTGGAAAAGGGCTGTTGGCATTGCCCCAGGGCACTGGGGTGTCCATCTGCTGACCAAGGGCACCCCTTGCTGACTCCGGCCCCTTGCAGGGAGAAAATGCTTTGCAGCACATTCCCCACAGGGCTGCTCGGGGCCACCCTTCCTAGAGGGAAATGCGGATACCCAGAGGGATCCCTTGCCTCATCCCCCTCGGGGAATGGGCAGGAGGTTGTCCCACCCTCTGGCACCGTCAGGTGGGCACAGAGCCCCTCTGCCCCAAATCACCTGCAGGCTGGAGCAGGCAAAGTACTTCAGCCAGGGTCCCCTCTCCGCCTGCGCCACTGCGGAGGGCTGTGAGCTCCCACGTAACCTCCAGGCTGGGACATTGTGTCTCGGGGGACAGGGAACACAGCTCCAAGCCTGCGTAAGCGAGAAGCAGCTGTGCCGTAACACCTTGGACGGAGGCAGTGCTGTGTAAGCTGAGCCTGCCCTGGGGCTCCACGGCCCCCGAGGGGGACAGCTGCCACCGGCCCATGGGCGGGAAGGCTCCGGCAGAGGACGGCGTCCAGAGATGAAGCAGGGTCTCTGCTCCTCTGCCTCCAGGGGTTTGCCTCCCAGCTTTGGGCCGAGCTTCTCACGGGGAAGGCTGCTGGAGCTGGAGGCCAGGGCAGCACACCCCGTCAGCCCGAGCAGCCCCACGGCGCCCCGGCTCCCGGGTCCCTGGGGCTGGCTGATGCCTGGGCACGTGATGGAGGACCGGACATTCCGGTGCCTCAGCCTCCCCTGACACCCTGAGAGGATGATGAGGGTGCAGGAGGCCTGACTCAGCCGTGGCAGCCCCAGGGCTTCGCCAGGCGGCAGGAAAGCTCAGCACTATTATGGGCAGGGAGGGGCCAGGCCGGGAAGCGATGGGAGGAACCGGGGTTTTCTCACACCCCCTCAGCTCCTCCGGCTCCTGGCTCTGCTCTCCCAGCCCTGGGGTCCGCTCTGATGTGACATGGGGACTCGGCAGCGCGGGCACTCCTGGCAGATGTGACTCCTCTGCGGTAAGACCTCTCTTCCCGCCGTGCCATGGGTTAGCTGCTGTGGCCGGGGCAGGTTCCCCCTGCCCTGCTGCCCTGCGGAGACCTGCCCAGCTGCCAGAAAGCACCTGCTGCCCTCCCGCTGCCAAGCCGGCGGCTCTCCCGGGGGCAGAGGCTCCTTGCGCACACCCCCGGGGAGCTGCTGCTGGTGCCAGCGGTGGCACGGCACAGTGGAAGGGCACGGGCACTGCTGGCAGTGGACAATGGCACCAGGGTGCTGTCGGAAAGCATAGGAACCGCCGGCAGCGGGTGATGGAATGGGGCTGTCCCGGCACTGAGGTGCCTGTCCTGGGCCCCAATCATCCCTGCTGGCTAGAGGGATGGGAAGAGGGTCCCTGTGCCAGGCTGCTCCGTGTCCCAGTGAGGCAGGCAGCCAGGTATTGGTTCTCTGGGATCCCGGGGGCTCCATCGCTCTCACCCTGGCACCTGTGGGTGGTGCCAATCCCTTGGCCAGGGTCCCTTGTCCCTCCAAGCAAAATTCCTCACTGTGTCGGATCCCAGCTGGGCCCTCCCAGTGCTGGCAAGGGCGACCACAACTTGGGAACAGCCGGGTGTTTCGTGGACTCCTTGCCTGGGAGCAGATTATTCACCCCTCAGCCTCCATTCCCAAACAGGTCTGTGCGCTCCACCTTGCTCTTGCTTGTAAATAGTTTCCTCTCTTCTGTGGGATGGTTTTCCCAGGGCAATAACAACAGCAACTGGGATGCAGCCGGCTGGCCAGAAAGGCAGGCTGCCAGCCAGGAGGCCGTGGTGGCTGGATGGCACTTCTTACCCCTGTCTCCTGAAAGCAGTCCTGGGGCATTTCCATGCTGGGCTTAGATGGGCTGGGGGGGCTGGGGGAGCTGACGCCGCAGCCACCTCACCCCCTGCTCCAGGGTCTGTGGAGCCAAGGGGTCTTGTTCCCTCCGTGCATGGCACCCTCCCGTCACTCCCGTTTCATGGGGATCGCTTTTCACAGGGCACATGCGCTGGCGCCGCCTCAGGGAGGCTGAGGGTGGCTCCGATCCCCGGGGTGACACTTGCAGAGGGGAGCTGCCAGCTCCCCCAGGCAGGGGGTCCCACTGGGGGCAGGCATGCCCTCTGGCTCCTCTTGCCAGGCACCCAGTGCCCGTCCCCAAGCCCAGATCCCCCCTGCGTGCTGCCGGGGCCACGTGAGGGCCAGGCCAGGCACCATCTCCGTCACCTCCTGGCTTGGAGCCGAGCCAGAGCCCGCCCCAACGGGGCTGGGAAAAGCCTCTGAATCAGGGTCATCTCCCGGGTGACTGGAGACTCTCGGAGCATGAGCCACTGTCCTGCCAGGGAAGGGACGCCAGGCACCCAGGGAGCTGAGCACCAGCAACGCCAGGACGGAGGAGCCCGACTGGGGTCCTGCCCACCCCGGTGCCACCCACAGCCCCAGGACAGGTAGGGGACCAGCCATCAGTCCACCAGCACGTGTGCCGAGAGCAAACTTTCCTCCAGCTCCAGACAGCCCGTGTTTGCAGGCGCTGGAGGCTGCTGGCTGCCATGCTGCCCTGTCCCAGCTCCGGGCTGGCTTCTTTGTGCTCTGGGCACCTCTGTCCCTGTGCCCTTCTCCCACCCTGTGCGGGTGCCATGGGGCAGAAGCCACCAGCTCCCTGTGGGGACCAAGCACTGGGCTGATCCCCCCCCTGCCATGGGCTGGCTCTGCCAGGCTGGTGGGGGCACAGCAGCCGCCTGGCTGGGAGGACTCGCGGTTTGAATTACTGATGGGAGGCTAGCGGGGCACAGCTGCGGCAGGAAGGCGGGCAGGCTGCTTGGGTGGCCTGCAATGAAGGGATCCCTGGCTGTCCCCACAGTCCTCCAAGGCCTGTGGGTGGTCGTGGCTGCGCTGAGGTCTTCAACCAGCTCCTGGTGCCAGGCACCAAGTGGGGAGCAGGGATGGATGGCAAGGACTCCCGTGCTGACTTCCTGACCTCAGTTTCCCTCTCAGACAAACAGGGTGTGTTACAGCAGTGAGCTGGAAATGCCAGCCCCCTGCCAAGCCCCGGTTCTCACTCTGAATAACCAGGGGGAGGTGCTGGGCTGGCTGGATCAGTTCATCCCACCTGCCTGTCTCAGCCAGAGTTAAGCCTAAGCATCGTGACTGTGACCAGGCAATCGCCTCCCATCAGGAGGAGGACCGCTCCAGTCCCTTGGCTTCGGTGACTCTGGGTGCTGGGATGCTGGGTGCCGCTGGCTGTGCCCCATGACTCCCTTCTATGGTATGAAGGCTCATGGGTGGCAGTGCCAGCTGGGCCCTGCTGTCCCAGGATCTCCAGGAGGGCTGGCAGGTGGCAGGAGCCATGGCCACACTGCATGCCACAGCCCCCCTGCACTCTTCTCCCCCCTAGGTTCCCACCGTTGCCTGCTTGCCCCTCCCAGAGTCTCCAGGCGAGGCAGAAGCCAGCAAGCTACTGGGTGGGCACCTTGTTGTGCTGACCATGGCCCCTGGAAACTGACCCCTGGGCTCTTCTCTTGCAGTCGATGTCTCTGGGAAAGCCTACTGAACCCCAGCATCCAGAATGTCCCAGCTCTCTTCCACCCTGAAGCGGTACGTTGACTCGTCCCGCTATGCTGAGGCCACCTACAGCAAGGCGCCCAGCGGCTACAGCTCCTACACCTCCTATGGATCCACCTTGGCCACATCCTATGCAGACAGCAACAAAATTGGCTTCAAAAGCAGCTACCTGCCTTCCCCCCGGTACCACCACGCAGGGCTGTCCCCAACCAGTGGCTATGACAGCAGCCGCCTGCCCCTGTACCCTGACTCCAGCATCCGCCTGAGCCCCACGTACATCCGCACCCAGTCCCGGCCACCCGGCAACGGGCTGAGTGGGGGTGCTTGCTACACCTTCGCAGGGTCCCCCAGCAGTCCCCCGGGATACCTGCCCACCACAGCATCTCTCAGCCGCCGCAAGTCCATCAGCCACTCGGACCTGGCACGGGAATTTTCGGGGCTGCACGCCTCGGACAGTGCCTACACACCCACCCCCGGCCCCCTCAGCACCACCCGGAGCCACCAGGAGCTCGGTGCCCTGCAGGGACTCTACCAGGCTACCGTGCGCTCCGACTACGTCCGTGGCTACCTGGACAGCTATGGGAGGAACAGCAGCCATGGCAGCCTCCACACGGGGCCCCTCAGCCCCTCACAGGGAACCCTGGGCTCTGCCCTGCCACCCTCGGGCACCCGCTACGCCAGCCAGCCCTGCGAGAGTGATGATGGCTACTGCGACATGCCCACCCGGGACCCCACGGTACGTGGTGCTCGCTGGGGGTGGGGGACAAGGCTGTGCGGTGGTGGGGTACGCGGTCTGTGCCCACTCTGCTGAGCTGGGGAGCCCAAGGCACCATGCGTGCTCTCTCTCCCTGGGAGTCTCGGTGTGTTGCTCCGTGCCTCAGTTTCTGCATCTCTGCTAGGCAGGGCTGCCCCTGACTCTTCGAGCTGCCCGTGCTGGGCAGGCGGGCAGGTGTCCTCTGAGGGACTGTGCATCGCTGGGAGCAGCTCCCGGGGCTCCCCACAGGTGCCTTGTGGCTGAGGGTGCCTGTGTGCTGGCAGGAGTGTGTGTGCTGTGCCTTTCCACGTGTGTGCCGGGCAGTGGGTGATGGCACATGCAGGCAAACTCAGAGCCCCGTGCGTGCAAGCCTGCATGGGTGCACACCGTGACATTGAGGTGCTGGAGCGGGTCCAGAGAAGGGTGACAAAGATGGTGAGGGGTCTGGAGAATAAGTCTTATGAGGAGAGGCTGAGGGAGCTGGGATTATTCAGCCTGGAGAAGGGGAGGCTGAGGGGAGACCTTATTGCTCTCTACAACTACCTGAAAGGAGGGTGTAGAGAGGTGGGGGTCGGTCTCTTTTCTCAAGTCACAGGCGACAGGACAAGAGGAAATGGCCTCAAGTTGCGCCAGGGGAGGTTCAGGCTGGATATTAGGAAAAATTTTTTCACTGAAAGGGTTATCAGCCATTGGAATGGGCTGCCCAGGGAGGTGGTTGAGGCCCCATCCCTGGAGGTGTTCAAAAGCCGGGTTGATGTAGTGCTGGGAGGTATGGTTTAGTGATGATGCTCCTTGTTTGTTGTGTGGGTGTCTATTTTTGTCAGTTAGGTTGACGGTTGGACAAGATGATCTTTAAGGTCCCTTCCAACCTAGAAGATTCTGTGATTCTGTGATTCTATGTCCCCACACCCGTGGGACTGTGCCCACATCCCCTGCCCCCTGCTCCCTCCTGGCTCCAGCCCCGTATGGGGCTGGAGAGGGTTTCCTGCCACCTCGCCCGAGCTAGAGAAGGTGATATGACTGGGCCGGGGACTTACCCTCCTGGAGACACCCAGCTGGGGAGGCTGGTTTGGCTGGTGCTGGCTCTGGCATGGTGACTTGGTGCCCAGCTGCCAGTCAGGTGCTTCACTGGTGCCCTGTGATGCCTGATCCCTGGCACGGTCTATTGCTGCCATCTTGGGGGCCCGTGCCCCAGCCCCCAGCACGGGCCGTGGCAGCCAGGGAAGCAGCAGTTTCCCCACGGCAGCGGGTGCTCTGCACAGCGTCACACGTGGTGGCAGGCACTCGGTGCCCCAGGTATCAATCAGTGCTGCGCCATCCCCAGAGCCTCAGCCCGGGCCGGGAGCAGGCATCACAAACGCAGCCCGGCTCAGGCGCGCAGAGGAGCAGCCTGGTAATTTTCCACTCAGGTTTCCTTCCAAGATCTGGTCAGGCTCTGCCCGCGTTGCCTCCCGCTCTCTTTCCAGTCAGGCTCCGTTCACCCATGGTGGAGGCTCATCTGCCCCAGCACAGGATCTGATCTGCCCTTTGCTTCCCTGTGGCTCCGTCCCATTGTTGCCCGCTAAACCGGGAAGATAAGGGCAGGGGGATTCTTTTCTGCTTTCCTGTGAGCAGCAGAGGAAGATCTTTCCCTTTCTAGCCAGTGCCCCCACATCCCTCCCTGTGCCCAAGGGCTGAGAAGGGCTGTGGGAGCAGCCTGGAGGTCTGGCCCATGCCCTTGGGCTGGTGAGGCACAGCGGGAGGCATGGGGTAGGGAGGAGAGGCAGCCGCTCCTGCCCACCACATGCTCCCAGCTGGGGCCCAGCAGATCCAGTCTCCCCCTTGTCCCTCTGGAGCTGCCCATCCCATTCCTGGTGCGGCTGGCTCCGCTCGTCCCTCTCTCTGGCACTCACCTGGGTTTTAAACACCCACCTGAGCCCCCAGGCAGGGGAGCGGGGGCAATGGAGAGGGTGAGGCATCACAGCCCACCACCAGCGTCTTGTCTGTCCCTTCCCCAGCGCCCTCCATCCCAGAAGCAGCTGCACCAGATGCAGCGACAGCAGTACCCTGCCCTGGTGTGGGACATCCTGTGCCCAACCTGCCTGCTCCCTGGCCCGCAGCCAGGGGTGAGGGAGCAGGTTGGGGGGCCAGGGGCGAGAGGAGGAGCAGTGCTGTGGAAGGGAATTCCTGCCTCCCACTCCCACGCCAGGCCCTGGTGGGGGGGAGCGAGGGGGGACCCAGCAGCCGCCGCCAGCCACGGGCACTCGCTAAAGCCCGTACCACACTGTTAGGACAGGGGTCCTCACCCCCAGGGGCCCACACACCGCTTGGATGTGGGTGCCAACCTGCTGCCATGGGATGGCCTTGGGGCTGCAGGGACCACGCTACTCCCAAACCACAGCCTTGTGGTCCGCATGGGAACGCAGCCGAGGGCTTTCCAGCCAGGGCTGACGGGTGGCAAAGGTGAGCAGGGCTTGGCAGCTGGCACGGGGTGCTGGGGCAGGCACCCGTGCCGGGGCAGGCGAGGAGGCTGGATCAGTGACACTGGCTTAAGTTTCCTTGGTGCTTTGATGGGCGCACCTGCTATTTTCCACTGCTGTGCTTTTTTTCCTCCCTTTCCCAAGCTGGGAAGCAAATGTACCGGTCGTAAAACAGACTTGGGTGCCTGCGGTCGTGCCAGGTGGAGGAAACAAGCGCATGTTGCAGCCCTGGCCCTGCCATCGGTTCTGCCCCATTACCCAGCCCTGAGGGCAGTGCCAGCGGCACCCGCTTCTGCCAGAGCCAGGGCATGGCGGGACTGGCTTCGTGCCTCCTCCCATCCCTTCTTCCCCTGCCACCTCCTGCCTCTGCACCAGACAAACCACCCTCCAGAGGAGTTTGCAGCCCGGAGACATTTGTTCCTACCGCCTCCATCACATCGCGCCTCAGTTTACCAGCCCGCAGGGCACAGGGAGGCACGTGCAGCTGCAGCGAGTGGCCGTGCCCGCCGAGCTGCCGGCTCCATGCAGGGCCGTGTTGGCTCCTGGGAATGGCAGGCTGGCAAGGGGCAGGACCGGAGCTGTGCCGCCCCATTAACCACCCTGGGTGAACATAGGGTCAGAAGGCCAGAGCCACCCACAAAATCGCCGGCAGCTCTCCACAGTCCCATCCTGAGCAGCTGACGTCTCTGGCCTGCAGCCAGTCCTGGCCTTGCCTGCCTTCGCAGTGCCAACCAGGCCTGTGGCAACCTCTGCCCGTGGCAGAAGGTCACTGCTGCAGAGGGGACAGCTGAGGGCAGGGAGCTGGCTCTGAGTGATGCCATCCCACTGGAGCTCCCCTTCTCTCTCCTGCTCCAGCCTTGCCCTGAGAGCCCGTGTGCTGCTTTGGCTGGAGGGAAATTTGGTCCTTGGCTCAGGGCACCCAATGTCTCCAGGGCACGAGGTTCAGCGCAGGATGTGACTGAACACCACCTCTCTTCTCATGGAACCAGCTCTGCTGGCACAGCGCATCCCCAGGGAGAGTGCTGCCCCAGCACCCTGCACATCGCTCGGGGCAGCCTGTGCGCTGGGGCAAATCCTGCCCCGGGGCCACCCACCAGGCTGCAGGGCTGGGTGGTAGGAGCCCTGGCTGGCACGAGCGACACCGGTACACACAATGGGGAGCAGTGCCACGGCCCGGGGGCCCAGGATGCGAGGTGCAGGGGCTGTGAGAGCGCGTTGCAGGGCACCCAGGCCATCTGCGTGAGGCCAGTGGGGCGCGCACCCCTGTGTGCACGCTGTGTCCCTGTGTGTGTATGGTGTACACACCGCGGGGTGTGTATATATATACACATGTGCGCACACGCAAGCAGGGATTACGACAAGCATCCTGTTGTGATGCAAAAAGCCCTGGCCCTGCAGATGAATAACGCTGCAAGATGCCTCCTCAGATATTTTTGCTGGTGCCAAAAATAGTCTCCCTCCCTCCCCCCTCAGTCAGCCCCTCCACTGGCTGTGCCGAGCTCATGCCGCGGACAGGGGAGGCTGCAGCTGCAGCAATTAGGAATCAAACGGCAGCCACTGGCTCTGGCTGGGGGTCTACTGGTGGGGGCTGGCACGGGAGGAAAGCAGCCTCTGCTCGGTGCCTCCAGCCCCCTCGGTGAGGCTGGAGGCTCTGGCCGTCCTCGGAGCAGCCCAGCTGTACTCCCTGCCTCGGTCGCCCATGGAAATTTCCCTGGGCAGGCGGGTAGGACACCTGGGTGCGCACAGCAGTCGCAAGCCTCCGCCGTTCGCCCTGCTGCGGTCAGAGGGGTGAAGCAGAGGGAGACGCAGGACTGGGACGCAGGACACCTGGGCTCCCTGCCAGCCTCCGCGCCTGCCCTTGCTGCAGGAGAAGAGCCAGAGCCCTGCCCACTCCATGCCTCAGTTTACCCAGCGCTCAGAGGGGAGACACCAGATGGGGTCTTTGCTCCACACTGGATTCGGGGGGACATTTTCCCCAACAAGGGAAGCAAAGCTCCGAAATGCCCTCTGAGCTCGCTGCTAATGCATCCCCCAAAGAGGGGGGTACGTTGTTGCTCAGTTCCCCCAAAACAGCACCGCCCAGGCCCCTGGCACTGGCCCTGCCGGGCAGGCACATGCCTGGGAGCCCTACAGCCCTCTCAGCCGGCCTTCAGCCCCTCTCCGGGTACAGACACCCCCCGCACACCCATGCTGTGAGGCGGCCCCGTTTTCACCCAGCAGGTTTTGGCGAGTTACCCCTGGCTAGGGCAGACCCGCTCTGGGGCCAGCACCGCGCCCCCCGCACGGCGTGCCCGAGCCCGGGGACAGGGGTCCCGTCACCCCCGCTGCCCAGGAGCCCGGGGGAGCCCGGGGGGGCAGCGGACGCTCCACCGGCTGCCCGCGGTGCCGGCGCGGTGCCGGGGGACGGGCACCCCGGGCTGAGGCGGAGGGGGCCGCCCACATCCTCCCCCGAAGCCCCGGGTGCCGGAGCCCCCCCCGCGTCGTGCCGGGAGC